ACATGATTCCATCCAGGTCATCAGGAGGGATCAGCCAATTAATTATAATTGTGAGCAAACACTAGGTGGAAGTATGCACACTTTCAGTTTGACTGCCAACTCATATAATTAGTAGAAGAAGAAAATGGACTACTTCAAAGCGCAGATTTCCTCAATGGCGCTGCCATAATGGGACATATACAGTGAGGGGGAAAAGTATTTGATCCCCTGCTGATTTTGTACGTTTGCCCACTGACAAAGAAATGATCAGTCTATAATTTTAATGGCAGGTTTATTTGAACAGTGAGAGACAGAATAACAACAAAAAAATCCAGAAAAACGCATGTCAAAAATGTTATAAATTGATTTGCATTTCAATGAGGGAAATAAGTATTTGACCCCCTCTCAATCAGAAAGATTTCTGGCTCCCAGGTGTCTTTTATACAGGTAACGAGATGAGATTAGGATCACACTCTTAAAGGGAGTGCTCCTAATCTCAGTTTGTTACCTGTATAAAAGACACCTGTCCACAGAAGCAATCAATCAATCAGATTCCAAACTCTCCACCATGGCCAAGACCAAAGAGCTCTCCAAGGATGTTAGGGACAAGATTGTAGACCTACACAAGGCTGGAATGGGCTACAAGACAATCGCCAAGCAGCTTGGTGACAACAGTTGGTACGATTATTCGCAAATGGAAGAAACACAAAAGAACTGTCAATCTCCCTCGGCCTGGGGCTCCATGCAAGATCTCACCTCGTGGAGTTGCAATTATCATGAGAACGGTGAGGAATCAGCCCAGAACTACACGGGAGGATCTTGTCAATGATCTCAAGGCAGCTGGGAACATAGTCACCAAGAAAACAATTGGTAACACACTACGCCGAGAAGGACTGAAATCCTGCAGCGCCCACAAGGTCCCCCTGCTCAAGAAAGCACATATACATGCCCGTCTGAAGTTTGCCAATGAACATCTGAATGATTCAGAGGAGAACTGGGTGAAAGTGTTTTGTTCAGAGGAGACCAAAATGGAGCTCTTTGGCATCAACTCAACTCGCCGTGTTTGGAGGAGGAGGAATGCTGCCTATGACCCCAAGAACACCATCCCCACCGTCAAACATGGAGGTGGAAACATTATGCTTTGGGGGTGTTTTTCTGCTAAGGGGACAGGACAACTTCACCGCATCAAAGGGACGATGGACGGGGCCATGTACCGTCAAATCTTGGGTGAGAACCTCCTTCCCTCAGCCAGGGCATTGAAAATGGGTCGTGGATGGGTATTCCAGCATGACGATGACCCAAAACACACGGCCAAGGCAACAAAGGAGTGGCTCAAGAAGAAGCACATTAAGGTCCTGGAGTGGCCTAGCCAGTCTCCAGACCTTAATCCCATAGAAAATCTGTGGAAGGAGCTGAAGGTTCGAGTTGCCAAACGTCAGCCTCGAAACCTTAATGACTTGGAGAAGATCTGTGGTCCTCTGTAGCTCAGCTGGTAGAGCACAGCGCTTGTAACGCCAAGGTAGTGGGTTCGATCCCCGGGACCACCCATACACAAAAAAATGTATGCACGCATGACTGTAAGTCGCTTTGGATAAAAGCGTCTGCTAAATGGCATATTATTATTATTATTATTATCTGCAAAGAGGAGTGGGACAAAATCCCTCCTGAAATGTGTGCAAACCTGGTGGCCAACTACAAGAAACGTCTGACCTCTGTGATTGCCAACAAGGGTTTTGCCACCAAGTACTAAGTAATGTTTTGCAGAGGGGTCAAATACTTATTTCCCTCATTAAAATGCAAATCAATTTATAACATTTTTGACATGCGTTTTTCTGGATTTTTTTGTTGTTATTCTGTCTCTCACTGTTCAAATAAACCTGCCATTAAAATTATAGACTGATCATTTCTTTGTCAGTGGGCAAACGTACAAAATCAGCAGGGGATCAAATACTTTTTTCCCTCACTGTATAAAGATGATATCTCTATCTCTAAACCACAGAGGGCATGATCTAACGGACTAATCAATCACAATGACTAGGTGTAACACATCTTACACTCCAAAAAAAAAAGTTACAACCTTCACATTATAATTAAATGATTCTGAACAAATGGCTGTGTCCCAACTTGAATTATCACGTTTGTGCAAAGGAAATTAGAGTCCTTTTTTTGTCTTATATTCTAATTATATTCTAATTATTTTAAGAACAAAATGTATAAGAAAATAGATTTGAATCATTGTGCTCAGTGAAACTCCCCTTAGCCTTCTTTCACTGCCTCCAGATCTTCACTTGTTCAGATCTACAAATTCATTTAATAAAGCAACCTGTCATATTTCCTGGATGCACCATAGAGACTGGATCTAGGCCAGTGACATAAAAGGTTGACGTTTAAAGAATGTGGGTAACTGGTTTTTGCTTGACTGTTTGACATTCAAAGTGGGGCATTCAAAGTGTAAACACACAGAATTCACAATGATTATCTCATGTAGTGTTTCCATGATTTCTGTACCTATCCACTTTGTCACGTACGTGAACAGAGAGTGTGAGAATGAGTGGGAAAGAGAGAGAGAGATAAAGTGGAAGAGAGCCCCAGGGATATATGCATTTCATACACTCTCCCAGATGTTACCTCTACAAAGACACACTTGATCTCTCTTAGGGTGCTAACAGTTTGGGGACGGGAGGCTTGTTTTAAAGGGTTTTACTATGGATACTTGGTTTGATACCCTGCATGAGTTGCAAAACTAAACTCCAGCTTGGGAAATGTCAACAGTAAAGCGATTCTTGAAAAGTCACTGCTTTTCACTGAGCACTTGTTTTTTACTGCCTCAGTTTCACACTGACTTTAATACTGCACAAGGCAAATGTTTGACAAGTGACACATAATACAAGGGCTTGAATGCTCCTGAATGGTTGTGTACCAAGACCTTGTACTGTCCTCCCCCTCCTCCTTCTTCCCACCTCTGCAGACAGTCACACAGGAGCCAGTCCTGGGACCAATGAAGCATTAGCATCTTAAAGAACATCACGTCCTATGCCATCCATCCATCTCGACCCCCACACACAATTAACCAAATTTTCAGAAGTACACTTTTAGGAAGGCATCCTACTTAGGGATGCAGACTCTGTGGAGTCTTTCCTCTCCACACCACTTGATAAGATCCACGGCCCAATGACTTGGAACACAAACCATGAAAGAGAGGGATTGAAAAAGTGCCAAAGGTTGCACACCCATTCAGACCCACTGGTCATTTCAGAGCAATCTTGTGATGATGAGGGCAGAGGCAAAAGCTACATTAGCATGCCCTTTGTGGTCGGTAAAAGCTTGATGAATGAGGCTGTTATTGGGAATTCCATTGATTCACCTGGGGGTGATAGTTAAACAAGCACTTCTTCAGACATGTTGGCATTTCCCATTTGTGAATAAAGTCTGTCATTTATTTTCTTTTGTAATGTACTTTTTGTCAGTAATGTAACCCAACAATGACCTTTCGCCTAGTTTATCGCAGAGGCTACTCTTATCCAAAAAGTCACCACAACCTGTAACCCTACCTCATATCACCTCTGGCAGTCAGCGACCGTCCAGGGACACATCATCAGCTAGCTCTACCTGACTCCTGGCAGGCAGGAGGGTCATGTTTATTAAGCACCAAATGGAGGAAGAACAACCTGGACTTATCTAATAAGATACCCTAATTTTTGTTGCAAAACATTTTCCTTCGTGTGCACTAATAAACACGACCCAGGAGTGGATGTCATGACAGCATCATGGACTACCCCCAGGGCACTAGACAGACAGCTGACAAGGATGCTTATGACACAGCCAGGCAGGAAGAGCATCATAATCTGCCAGTAGGGGAACTCTTGGACAGACATTAAAGAGCAAGCCTGCCCTGCAGACTTTGAGTTGTTGTAGGTAATAGTTCACAGAAGAGTTGTGTGCCATTCACTACGGTGCTCTCGGAGTTACGATGTGTGCCATGAGAACCTGAGCTAGATTCTAAGTAAACTGTACTAGCAGGTCAGTATAAGATCTGGAGCATGGGGTAGGTGGTTTGGGGCTATAATAACAAAAATGTGATTGTATGGACAAAATAATTTGGGTTGACTAAGTTTGTTTTCTTTCTGAAAGTATTGATTTTTTTGACGGTCATGCAGTAAATGTCAAAGTGAAGAACTGGGGTCATATGAATCTCAAGCAGGTGGTTGGGTGTATTCATGCAAGAGAAATGTCAAGTGTTTTCCATCTTTGCACACTGTACTTAGTGCGCAATGGGCAAACTCCTGCTTGTGTTATCAGACACACCCTATCTTGAGATAATCCCCTTCATCTTTTGACAAGACTTTGAAAATAGTTTATGGTGCCATTCCAATCAGTTACTGTGCAATCTTAACACTGTCAATCATCCACCCACTCACCTTGACCCAAATACCATAGAACACATATGTACCGCACACAGATTGTGCGATAGCGGTCTTCTTGGATGCAACACACATACCTTGCATCCTGTGAGGTAAACATGGTGTACCTGTGTGTCGCATTCTGTATAATAACTCCAGTAAACATTGACTTTTGTCCATTCTTTATTACATTAAAAACAAAGTGCTGCTGATAAACAGAACTTTTTAACTTGCAAATGAACCCCCCCCCCCCCCAAAAAAAAAAAAGAAAAATAATTTATGATACAATAAAACAAAATTATATACAACTAAATCTATATAGTTGCTTCCAAGAGAGCAAACAAATTCTCAGGTTTGAGACCTGTTTGAGGTAGAGTACAGTAAGTCATGCTTTTAACAAAACATAACAGAATGAGTTCCAAGGCATGAGGCATTGTTTCACAATAACGCACCAAATTCCTACCAACAGGTCAGGTCTTTAAAGTTCACACAAGTAAATGGAAGTAGTAATTAACCATTTTAGTAATTAAATGGCAATAATTGACATACATTACATTCAACCCCTTAGAATTTTTACTTTGGATCCAGCCCAAAATTAAAAACAGCAAGAGAAGAACCAAACCACTAGGTATACTGGTTGAATCAATGTTGTTTCCACATAATTTCAATGAAATTACGTTGACACAACATGGAATAGACGTTGAATTGACATCCTGTGCCCAGTGGGAATTTCATAACATGGGGGAATGTGAAAGAGACTGTATAAAAAGGGCCGTTTTTCACTAACAAATGGCTGCTCAATTTGATATAGCTTACGCTACAACATAGGCTTTGTTACATGTAGTCTACTATGAACAATGACTTTGGAAAATCGCTAGGACAATATATTACTAACATTATTGTACTAGGCTGAACGTGGACCTGTTGCTCCAAACCAAACTTTTTTTACACATACACTTTTAACTGTCTCTCAGCAACTTTCACTTCTTCTTAAACAGTCACCGCAGGGGATGGATGACACCATGCATTGTCTTAAGTCAAGACCGGTCTTTTCAAATATCTCTTAATGTTTTATTTTTGCGCCTCATCTCCTCAGTCCCAACATTGCCTCCTGAGCTGCTCCAGTTTAACTTTGAGCTGCTCCTGCCTCTCTCGGAGCTTGTCTTGCTTGACGTTCAGTTTCTGGCCCGCCAGCTCCAGGCTGCGGATGCTGTCGCGTGCCCTCTTCAGGATGACCACCTTGGAGGCCTTGTCGTTGTTGGACAGCTCGGGCACGTTGTCCCTGAGCCTTAGGAAACAGTTCTTCAGCTCGTTGCGGCGTTGCCTCTCCATCACGTTGTGGGTATGCCTCCTCTCCTCCTCATCCTCCACGTCGGTCGACTGCCTAGAGCTAGACTGCTGGTGACTGCTGAGGTGGTGTCGGGACGAGCGGCCCGACGAGCTGTGGTGGTGTCTGTGTGAGTCGGAGGACCGGATGCCCTTGTGGTAGGAGGTTGACGAGTGCTCGGAGTGGAGAGGTGACGCGGGGCAGGGGGCGGCGTAGTTGTGCTGTAGCTGGATCTCCAGGTGTTGCCGCTTTAAGGCGCGCTGCTGCCGCCGGCTCTCTTCTACCGACTGGGAGGAGGGGCTAGTGGTCCTCTTCACCGTCACCACGTCTATCTCCTCCTCTGTAGAGAGGAAAACCACAAGGGATTGTGTTAGTCAATTCCGATAACGTTTGAAAGACTACATTTCAGATGCCTTGGATTTAGACTAACATTTTTTAATTGCAACTTTCGAGGCAATGCTGCCAACTTTATTTCTAGGTTAATTATATTGCATTGCAAGCTTGCACAGCAGATAATTCATGTTCTTCATTTTTGAAGAAGTGCTTGAGAAATAGTATTCCCATTGAATGGTGCAAGAAAAACACTTGGTCCTAATTTCACTTCCCTTATTATGGAAATTATGGCATTTAAAAGCATGCATGAGAGTTCAACTCATTGCTGTACAGAAGTAACTTTCTAACAGTTCCTCTTAACATTTAAGCAAATAAATCACTAACGCATGGTATAACCTTTTCATTTTCAAGCACATTGGCCACGAATGTGGACCAACTCACCAGAATCGCTTGCACTGCTCGAATACGTTGAGAATTCACCTCCTGCTGAGCCGTAGTCCGAGGTCGACTCGCTGCCTTGCTCCGGACTGTCCAATAGTAAATCCTCATTCTCCAAAGCTTGGCATGCGAGCGCCGCGCTGTGGCAGTCCAGTATGGAGCCGGCAATTTCCTCAAAAATGCTCGTGTCTATGTCCGAGAGCAGTGGGCTGCTGGAGAGCACAGATGATAGCTTCTCCATAGACTTATCACCGAGGCAATGCCATAAACAGTCGTCGGACTCATCTGGCTGTTGGTCCTTTGTCGCGGTTGCACTGCCATCGTACAAAAAGTCACAATTCCAATTTAGCTGCGGGTCCTGATCCTCCAGGAGTATGTCAGAGACGTAGCTCAACTGGTCCTCCTTGGAAAGTGGTTTGGCATTGAGTCCAGTCTTCAATGGAGGGGACTGGGGTGGCGTGGGGAGCGACTGTAGGTCCTTCATCAAGCTCTGACAGAATTCATCATCAAACAAGAGAGGCTCCGAGTAAAACCAGTCTTGCGACTGGGAGAAACTCTGCAGCATTTTGGCAGAATCTGGGAAGAGGGAAAATAAAGCAGGTTGAGTATGCACGTGATGTAAGTTAACTTAGTGATGCTCTTAGTACTTCGACTGCAAACCCACCAGCAAGCACAACCTTTTAATCATGTTACCATCCTTTGCCCCACCCCAATGAGGGTGGTCATCAACAAACTTTTAACCCCATGACATCATTTAAACAGCTGAGGAGCGCAACATCTCCAAATGTGCATTTTTCTCCTCAAAATAAATAATTTGACTAGGTAAAGATAGATAAGTACCTCAACTCCTCCATGGAGTGAAGAGCGGACTAGAGTTTTTATTTTTGTATTATTAACCTCGACTCCTTCAAGTCGCTTTGCGTCAATGCTTTAAAAATTGAAATTATGAATCCCTTAGTGTACTGTTTGTCCTCTTATTGCGTGCCTTTGCAGATTTTTATTTTTTAAATAAAACGTTAATCAAATACAACCACCAACTTTCCTTGTTGAGATTCAATTGGCACATGCACATTCGCGCTGAGTTGCCATCTTAGAGCAACAGCAACGAGGAATCAGTCGGTGGTTGGTTGTATTTCATTAAAAATTATTTTTCAGCAAACAAAGAAATGCACGTTAAGAATATACATTTTTGAAGTATTGACGCATAGCAACTCGAACGAATCGGAGGTACATTTCAAAAACGTATCTGCGCTCAACTCCGTGGAGGAGTTTAAGTTACTTGCTAAGGTAAAGATCAACTAGGTAACAATTCAAAGACTGGGAGAGATGCCTCCAGATAAAGATCATTCACTGGCTATTGCGAAAAATTGCCATCTCTAGTCTTGAGCAGTCAGTCACACAGTTCTTCAGTAGTCAATTATACACACACACACACACACACACACACATAATTTGTTCCACTGCCGTTTAATATCAACTTCTACATCTCTCCCTAGCCCTATTAAGACTAATATTTCAGCAATATACGCACATACCAATGCCTCTCATTGAAAAGTCTAACTGCAATGTATCTAGTACAGCTGGTTAAGTTGAGCATTTAATTAATAATAATAAACCATTTAGCAGACGCTTTGACTTACAGTCATGCGTGCATATTTTTTTTATATTTTTGTGTATGGGTGGTCCCGGGGATCGAACCCACTACCTTGGTAGGGCGGCAGTTAGCTTAGTGGTTAAGAGCATAGTGCCAGTAACCGAAAGGTCGCTGGTTCTAAACCCCGAGCCGACTAGGTGAAAAAAAATCTGTCGATGTGCCCTTGAGCAAGGCACTTAACCCTAATTGCTCCTGTAAGTCGCTCTGGATAAGAGCGTCTGCTAAATGACAAAAATAAATAAATAAATAAAATAAATAAATTGGCGTTACAAGCGCCGCGCTCTACCAGCTGAGCTACAGAGGATTAAATACCAGTATACATTTTAAAGGGCAAAAGAGGTGCGGTTAGCAGAACAGAGAATGGCTTTGGTAGAACTAGGCTGGTTACACATGGACGTTCACCATGGACATTTAATTTGACTAATGTGAATAAAAAGTCGTATGCATCTACAGTTGCACATTTAAACTATTTTGCCGAAGTACATTAGTGCCAACATTTGTCACGGTTTAACGTTACAAGTTTCTATTTTTCTACAAATCACCAACATAAACATAAAACACAAATGAAGCTAAAACCATTAGAATGAATGACACTTATGTATGCCGTCATGTCGTTTGAAATAAATATAGTTTAAAAAAAGTCAGGTAACTAATAGGTAAACAAAACAAAAAAATTGTATATATATATACAGTATATACCACCGGCAAAAACCACGTGAAATAATCTGTGAAGCCGTAAATGCCAACTCTTACCTTTATTATTCCAGGGGTATGAGAAAGGGAAGAATACGTTTTTTTTGTGGCTTGATAAATTCCAACGAAATGAAACCGAGATAAACTAATGTAATTATTCTGCTGTCTGTAAAAGTACTGAAGCTCTGCTGGCCCTGCGTTATCTACCATACGCCACGCTCTACACAAGATCCGTGGGTGTGGTGGCGAGATCATTTCAATATATACGACCACTGCGCAGCAGTATCCCTCCACTGCACAACATTCGCGCCAAAACGTAAAAATCTATATGGAACACTTGAATCAAGAACTATTACACTGCTGTAATAATGTTTGTTGGGTATAAATCCGCGTGGATCAGCTCGGAAAATACGGTGATAAAACACACGCACAGCAAAACATGTTTTAAGGAATGATCTATGTTGTCTGGAGACGCGGATGGATCTGCTCTCCATGCGCATTACGGAATTTCAGGAAAATGGAGACGGACTGGGTACAAATTTACACGGTCCGTGCTACCCGGATTCCATGGGATGTTCCTACCCCATTGCATTTGAAATTTAAACTGGTTAAGGGTAGGGATAGTGTTAGGATTTAGGGTATGGAGTATGGACGTCTCAAGGATCCCAGATAACACTGACCAAATGTACACGTGTGTACTCCCAAAAGCCCGATGTCTCGCCTGGTTCATACCAATAATGTATATAAACCCTGGATTGCATATGTTATGTATTGGCCAGTGAGAGGCTTTGAAGCCACCGGTCGGCCATATTGCCACTCCCCAGAAGGAGCAGTCCTTCATTGGAATGAAATTAATTCTACAGTATTTAAATTAAATGTTTAAAGGAAAAAATTACATGTATTTAAATATTTTTGTTGTTGTAGTGGGGACCAGTAATACTAGAACTTTAAAAAAGAAACACTTTAAGAAAACGGTTTTTATATATGTTTTAATGTATTTTTTTAAAATGTTTAGCTCACATAATATAATTTAAAACTATGCATTAAGGTGCCTGTAATAGAATAAACGTGGCAAAAACAAATGTAGAAATTAATAAATGCATTTCTATTACAAAATATTATTTAACACTGGTGGGGGAATGTCAAAACAGTGCCCCCTGTAAGTCATCTAGTGTATATATAAATAATAGGTTCTTACTAGCAATGAGGCATACTATTCTTGGTGATATTTGAATGAGTTGGTCAGCACAGACCATGAGTTTATGGCCATGTTGGACATTTCAAAGCATTTCACCAGCCAGCCCAGTCAGGCACCATAGATTATTTGCATTTATGTACACCTAACCAGTGGTATAGTGTTCTTTTTTTTTAGGTGAGGGAGCGCATAAAAAAACAAAAATATAATAAATTCCTCAATCAAAGTTTGTATCGACAGATGTAGCAAATTGAATAGTCCATTATAGAATTTGCATGAAATGCATCCTCCAATTGAAACGTCTGCCTATGTCCACACATACTGTAAAGAACATGTTCTATTTTTAATACCCTCAAACACCAAGTTAGGCATAGGATACTTAATTTCCAAATAGACCATCATCACTGTCAATCGTGAATGATAATTCTTCAGGTTTTACAGGTGAAACGTCCAAACTGCGTCTCCATGCCAATCATTTGATTGATCTCAATCAGTTTAATGGGAATATGCATTTAGATCATCTTGAATTACCATTTTGCGAGCGAATTAGAGCAGATGGTGTTAATAAACTATTAGCCTTGTATTTTGTTGCAATCAAAGCATATATCCTGCCTATTGGTGCGCCCTGGCAACAATGGCTCAGCCACACAAGCTCACAGAACAGGGCCAGCCGAATGCTGAAGCGCGTAACGCGTAAAAATAGCCTGTCCTCAGTTGCAACACTCACTACCGAGTTCCAAACTGCCTCTGGAAGTAACGTCAGCACTGTTCGTTGAGAGCTTCATGAAATGGCCGAGCAGCCGTACACCAGCCTAAGATCACCATGCCCAATGCCAAGCGTCGGCTGGAGTGGTGTAAAGCTGTAAAACTCTGTAGCAGTGGAAATGCGTTCTGTGGAGTGATTAATAATGCTTCACCATCAGGCAGTCCAATGGCGGCGTTTGGAGGATGCCAGGAGAACGCTACCTGCCCGAATGCATAGTGCCAACTGTAAAGTTTGGTGGAGGAGGAATAATGGTCTGGGGCTGTTTTTCATGGGTTGGGCTAGGTCCCTTAGTTCCAGTGAAGGGAAATCTTAACGCTACAGCATACAATTACATTCTAGACAATTCTGTGCTTCTAACTTTGTGGCAACAGTTTGGTGAAGGCCCTTTCCTGTTTCAGCATGACAATACCACCGTGCACAAAGTGAGATCCATACAAAAATGGTTTGTTGAGATCGGTGTGGAAGAACTTGACTGGCCTGCACAGAGCCCTGACCTCAACCCCATCGAACACCTTTGGGATGAATTGGAACACCGACTGCGAGCCAGGCCTAATCGCCCAACATCAGAGCCCGACCTCACTAATGCTCTTGTGGCTGAATAGAAGCAAGTCCCTGCAGCAATGTTCCAACATCTAGTGGAAATCCTTCCCAGAAGAGTGGAGGCTGTTATAGCAGCAAAGGGGGGACTAACTCCATATTAATGCCCATGATTTTGAAATTAGATGTTTGACGAGCAGGCGTCCACATACTTTTGGTCATGTAGTGTATGTCTATATGAAGTGTATGCAAATAGATTATACAAGTGGTTAGGCATTTTCAACACACAAATGTTTCTTAAAGGACTATAGGAGAAGTAGTCAATATCTCCTCAACCCTCAACCATGAAAGACTATCATGTATGTTGTTGATGTTAGTTCTGTGAGTGCAGTTAAGGGCAAGGCGTGCTGCTTTGTTTTGAGCCAGCTGACTCTGAGGGGGAAATAACAGAAAAGAGGGGGGATTACGGAAAATATGCACATTGTGTGCCAGGCAGTAAAGTGGACATTCATGCGGTCATGTGTTCTGAGTTTTATTTAATTCATTTATGATTAAATTCAGTCTGTCTAATTAAGTATTGAGACGGAGACAGAACAATGGCGAGGAGGATTACCGAATGTACGTGTGTTTAATCAGAAAAGTTAGGTTTTGAAGAAGTGTAATAACGTTAGCTAGCATGAAGAAAAGCGGGATACAAAACTACGCTAGGCCAAGATGGACAAGATGGCTAACATAATTTGAACCGTATGTCGATAGCAAAGGACTTATTATCGACGAAGAAGCAACAGATGCAACTCGTCAAAGGAGGAGAGCTCTACTTTTGCATCATATGACTTTGCATTTGTTGTTAATGAGAATGTCAGATAGATTTACAGTACCTTTTGTGTGGGGGAGTTGAAATTAGAATGTTGATTGACTCAGGTGCAACTAGCAATGTGATAGCTGAGAATACATGGGAAAGACTGGTCAGATAAAATAAAGTGTCACTCATATGCCCCTAAGACAGTGAGAAAACTGTATTCTTATTAGAGCTCTGCTACCTAACCCGACCAGTGCATTCAGAAAATATTTAGACCTGTCACGACTTCCTCTAAAGCTGCCTCCTCTCCTTGTTCAGGCAGGCTTCGGAGTTCGTTGTCACTGGCCTTCTAGCCACTGCCGCTCCTCATCTCATCATTCCATTTGTTTTGTCTTGTTTATTACACACACCTGGTTCATATCCCCTCATCAGTACCTGTATAAGTGTTCCCTCTGCCCCTTGTCTTTGTGTGTGATTGTTTATTGTGGAGGTTAGATTAGCTTGGTGGAGCTCCTTGTATTTTGTATCACCAGGATATTCACCTGTGTGCCTTGTTGTTTTCCAGTGCGCCGTATTTCCGCACTGGAGTGTTTGACACATTGCTGCGTACCACTGTGTTACGGAATAAACCTTTTATTCTGTGATTTACCCTTCTGCGCCTGACTCCTTCTAAATCACTCACCACAGAAGCACACACCCGAACATGGAGTCAGCAGGAGAAGAGAACATGCCTGGAGTCATGGCACAGGTCCGGAAGCATTCTACTATGCTAGCCCGCTTGGGAGAAGCGATGGATTGGGTTCTCCAGGTCGTCCAACGCCTGGAGAGGAGAGGACCCGACCCTTCGGGACCAGCTGAGCGACCGGATCCAGCCACCCACACCCCAGCACCCAGAGGGATTAATCTATCCCGACCGAGGGATTATGACGGGACAGCTGCCCGCTGCCAGGGATTCGTCCTGCATTGGACCTCTACTTCTCAACCATCAACCCGGCACCATCGGAGCGGGAGAAGGTGTCCGCCCTCGTCTCCTGCCTCTCAGGGAAAGCCCTGGAGGGGGCCAATGCAGTCTGGAGTGAAGGAGGAGCCGCGTTGGACAACTACGGGGAGTTCGCTCGCCTCTTCCGGGCAGTCTGCAGCTGGTCCAACTGAGGCAGGGGACGAGGACCGCGCAGGACTTGCCCTGGAGTTTCGTACTCTAGTGGCTGGATCCGGGTGGAACAAGCGGGCCCTCATCGACAGCTTCCGGTGCAGCCTGCGAGAGGACGTCCGAAGGGAGCTAGCCTGCCGGGATACCATGTTGACTTTCGACCAGCTGGTGGACATGGCCATCCGGTTGGACAACCTGCTAGCTGCAAGAGGACGTCCTGGAAGGGGCCTCCCCGTTTCACCCCCCTTCAACCCGGATTCAGCTCCGATGGAGCTGGGTGGTGCAGCAATCCGGGAGAACGGAGGACGACAGCTCCAGTGTCACTCTTGTGGCAGGAGAGGACATTCTGCTGCACGCTGTCGTCAGGATTCTTCCGGGACTGGAGGCGGCAGGCAGGGCACTCTCGCGTCAACCCAGGTAGCGCAAACCCACACTCGTTCAGAGCCCTCTGCTGCGCACTGCACCATACACATCACCTTCCCTGATTACACAGTAGTTTCCCAGTGTAAGGCGCTGGTCGATTCAGGCGCAGCTGGGAACTTTATGGACAGGTCATAGTCTAGGTATTACGTTGGTTCCCCTATCCATTCCACTGCCCATCAAAGCACTTGACAGTCGACCAATAGGGTCAGGGTTCGTTAGGGAAGTTACAGCACCAGTCACGAATGTTACGCAAGAGACCCATAGAGAGCAAGTCACCTTTTTTATTATTTTGTGACCTGATTTCCCTGTTGTGTTGGGTCTTCCCTGGTTAGCACTACACAACCCCACATTTTCCTGGCCGCAGAGGGTTCTCACGGGGTGGTCGCGAGAGTGTCAGTGTAGGCGCCTAGCTGTTTCCGTTGG